AAATAAACAGTAGAACTTTATTGTTTCGAAGATAAAGCTGGCTGACAATATTTTCACATGTAGTATTTAACTCTTCCTACTTTTTATGGAGCACTGTTTTACGTCAGGAATTTCGATCAAGGACATGTTTTTGGTCTGAACAAGTGAATACACATTTGGGCACATTGAATATTTTACGCTTAAATTGGCCTTTGTTTTAAAAACAAATGGACCTATTTTGAATTAAACAATAACCGAATTTTGTTCGCACTTTTTAATGCAGGTTACAAACAGATAAGATTGCTAGTTGGGTGTGAAATCCATTTTGTAGATTATTTTGATGTAACTTTTTCTTTTTACATTCTAAAATATTTTTCGTTGTAAGTATCTCCCGCTAGAAACATAAAAGGACCACAACTAACAAGAATGAAAAGATAAAAGTCTACATTCGGACGCCATGAACATAATCAGTGTAATAACTACAGGTAACTATAAAGAGTTGATCGATATAAATTCTGTAATCGGTTTGTTTGAGCGTGTTGGTACTAGAATTAAAAAAACACGTAAATACACAGAATAATGGACGGTGATGTTGCTGGTAAGAATCTAAAAGCAGGAACAAGGCACACCAATTTCAGGGAAAAGCGTGGATGGCATATTTATTTAAAAATCTAACTGAGTAGTCAGAGGTTCTTCTCATGCGTTTCAACTAGGATAATGTCTCTCCACGTAGATGTGATGCAACAGCAATAATGTGTACATTCTTTATCACCGGAAAAGAAAAAAGATTGCTAAAATTTTTATTCTTGTGTGCATTCCGCTTTTCATCAAAGATAGGCAAGAATAAAGGAAGGAAAATCATTGCCCCAAAAGCTGTACGTTCCACAAAGTAAAATTTTCTCACCAATTTTTAGAACGCCCATCCATTTGATGCCGTGAATTCCAAATTCCACTAATCCAAAACCGATTGTAGCGCCGACAATACTATGGGTACCAGAAACAGGTATTCTGAAGAAGGTCGCAATCAGCATCCATACGCAAGCACCTGTGTGTCAAATAGATGCAAACCATGCATTAATTTAAAGGCCAAACTTGCAAGCTATTTTGAGCTTTCCTTTTCGTTAGAAAAAACCTAAATTAACAAATTTAGTTGTCCTATGGCATAATTTTTGTAGCCCAAAATATGCCAAAATCAGATCAAGATTTTTTACTTAACCTCTTTGTATGTAATATATACTCAAATTCCTTCTTCAACCATCCTTGTATGTTTCTTAGGCTTCAGATTTTCATGAAATTCAGCAACAGTTTTCATTGCATAACAACCGGATCTCGTAACCAAAATAGCAAGGAAAAAAGAAATTTAAATTTGGCAAGAAAAATATAACATAAGACGCGTTTATTTCATATGACCGACTGACGATATTAACTTATGAATGAGCACTTATCGGTGGACAAATAATACCAAGAAAGCAGTCTTACACTTGAAAGTCTCTACTGAGTTTTCAGTTAAAAACCTTGTGGCGCCAATTTTTTAAGTATGCTAAGCGTGAATGAGTGCATCAGCGTGCTAACGATAGTTTCTTCACAAAATGAAGTTAGGTTTTGCAGGCATGAGTGGTTCTTACATTAATGATAGAAAACTGTCGAAACGCCCTCTATGAATGTTCACCCAGCATCGTCTCAACTTATAAAATTAATGCAGATGCATACGGCCTTTTCTTCTAGTAGTTACTGCAATAAATATCCCCTCCTTCCTGGATGATGCGTAGGGATGACTTTGCCAGTACCTATATGTATGTATGTATGTATGTATGTATGTATGTATGTATGTATGTATGTATGTATGTATACATACATACATACATGTATGTATGTATGTGCCTACATATTACCATTGCCAATGGCATAAAAACGGTCTGGTAATATTCATAATTTATCTTCACATCTTCAACAAATTCTACAGCAGTTACTGTTATTGACTATTATTGAGGGTTATTTGGGTGTTAAAAATAAACTTACTGGCAAGCGAGGATATCTGGCCATAAATTAGTCGTTTCGGGCCATCGTTCGTATAGTTGAATAACGTAATGTCGACGATACCTTCCCTTATTGTCGCAGAAACGTGACCCCCTGTTCAAAAATAAGTCAACAAAGGATAGCTGACATACCTAAAAGGATGGCACCAGATATTTCACAAATTGTAGCTAGAATGCATGCCCCTCGAAGACTCAGGACTTTGGATCCTACACTTGTACCAAAGGAATTCGCCACATCGTTTGCTCCTATCCCGAAAG